TGAGGCGGAAGGGAACGCAACGAAAATGCGTCTGCTGTGCTTCCCATCGTCTTTTGGTGTAGTTGGCTGGTTTTACTTCCGTTCCTCTCGCTAACATCACCGCCCCCTCGTTATCGCTATCGAACCGTACCGCAAACCCCTTACCGCCAGCACTCCCAAGTCCATTCCAGGCAATAGCATTGCACGCTGTACTCTCCGCCGATATATAACAGAGGGTTAGTGACCACCCTCCACTCCAAATTGATCGGTTTTAAATAACCTTGACGTTATCGTGTGTCGGTATCGTCCCACTTTACTCTTCACTTTATAATGACAAGCTTTTATATTACTATCCCATTCTCATTCTTCTTCTTCATCCCATTCATGTGCGTGCAGTGTTTAAAAACCTCATTCGAAGATATATCTGGGGAACTATACAGGCAAACTACTCCTTTAAGTATGTGTCAACCCTAGCTTTCTCGATCACTTCGATGAATTTGAATGAGTCGCAAACGGACTGGAGTTCAGTATACGCACGTGGTGCAGAAATCGGTCCGATCGACTTTATCGGACCTGTCACTCAGGCCATTCCTTAATCAGTACGTCTTATTCCCCACCAGGGTGCGTACGCGAAATGGGGTTTCAGCACCCTGCCAAAAAACGCCTGACGTTTTCATTCTACATTCACGTTATGTTCCCTATATTACAGTCACTTTCGTTTTCCGTCAACAAGTAACTTGTTTAATTGCACAGAAACCCTCTCGCTAACTTTAAAAAAGTAAAATTGATTTCGCCTTGGTTCAGTTTAGTTGATTGAAGATGGACCTAAGAGTTCGAATATCCTATTTGCGACGTAACATTGAGCGCAGTGTACGGGAAAAACATATAGGTTGCCAGAGTTCAATGGGGTTATAGAAAATGACCTGAATGTGCAAACCCCAATTGCTTCTTATTTAAATAAGAAAAGAACTTGCTAATTTGAAAGTTTTGGGATTATTTAGGACTAAAAGGAATATGGATTGGAGTTCTGGGTAGATAAATACACCAAAAGTTTCTTTGACCGGTATTGGCTTATTTAAGATGATTTTTTGGTTTGCGTTGGCAATGACATGAAGAAGTGTTAGGAGGCGGTGCACCAACTGCGGACGTAGTCAGCCGTCTTAAGTCAATTTGGAGCACACTTATCTACTTAGATGAGCGAAATTCTCATAGCTAATTAAGCCTGATGATCCGGGCGCTGGACCGAAAATATCTGGTTGACTTACGTGCCATTTGAGATTTAATGGGCCAGTCATCTGGGAACTGTAGTTCTCCAGCCCCGGGGCAAACGAAACGTTTTCTTACGCAGCTGTCTCGGTCAATATCTAACCGGTTACTATAGCCTTGCCATCGCAGACCATTTTAGTAATTCCCGAATGATTATTATAAACTTTGAGCGAGCGATTGTTGATGAAGAGGCCTCTGGAAAAAAGCGAATCAGGATAATAAGACATTTTTCAGTCCGAAGGGCTTGAACTCACCCTCACCATGCGTTTGGATCCCGCCAATCCTTTATCGGTGACCTCCACTCGTACTTTTACGTTTAGTAGGAGCCTTCCATTCGGATGCCCAGGATTGCTGTAATCGCACCTCATTCACAAAATAGTTCAGCCGATGTAAACCTCCTGGTTCTAGAACCAGAATTTTGGTATCTGCACGACTATCACTAACAACCATTGCTACCTTAGCTGTATACCAAGAAGATCTGATTTCGCTCTTCCTGCTTCTGAGATACCGCCACGTGGTGAACAGTACTATTAGTTTCGCCGCTTCTGCTGTTCTCTTCTTCACATAGCATAAAACTGCGTCATGTGCACTGTCTGGTTCTGCCGGACAACCTCTCTCCAATTATTATACAAGGTACGGTTCAGAATAGGACCGAACGCACGCCGACATAGAGAGGGAGTAGCATGTCGAGTCTCATAGTCAATAGTTGACCCGCTATTTAACAATGCTGTTTATGCTGCAAAGTTATTCTGATCGATTTTA